GAGTGTGTGGAGCTCCAGAGTAGGTGTGTGTCCATCAGTGCATGAGGAGTGTGTGGAGCTCCAGAGTAGGTGTGTGTCCATCAGTGCATGAGGGTGTGGAGCTCCAGAATAGGTGTGTGTCCGTCAGTGCATGAGGGTGTGGCGCTCCAAAGCAGGTGCAGCTTATTTTACTTCAGTTACAGTGTAGAAGTTGCTCATTGTTTTTCAGTGAATTTTCCTTATTACTATACAGGATATATATTTAAAATCCCAGTCAGAAGTATTTGTGGTAAGTCTGTGGTGTTCTGGTGGTACATGTATGTTTTAACATATGTAGATCCAGGCACTGGGTGTGGTGGTATACTCCTGTAATTATGAGATTCCAGAGATGTGAGTCAGCCTGGGCTATATAGACTCTATCTCAAAAAAAAAAAAAAGTGTGTAAAGTGTAGTTGTGATAATTGTTAGCAAATGTTCCCCCCATGCCGCCTTGAGAGCACATTATATACAGCAGAAGATAGTAGCATTCATCTATTTTGTTTGTTTGTTTGTTTGTTTACAGTTAAGGACAAAGAAAGTTTACAAAATTACAACCAGTCACTTGAAAAGTGGTCTTTCTCACAAGCTGTCACTGGTCTAATTGACACGGGAAGAATATCTGAAGCTGAATCTCTATGCACAAAGGTACTGTTCTGGAATTATACAATGAAATGTGTGTGTTTTTGTCCTACCTAAAAAAAGTGAGAGGGGGTACTTAATGAGTGGATGGTGGTGGTGATAACAAGCAATATTTATTGGTTACTTGCTCCATGTCAGTCATTCTATTTAACATTATTGTTTCTGGGCTTTACAACAATCTGTGATGTACACGTTTATGATTGTTGGCCTTTTTACAAATGAGAAAGTCCGTATTTGAAGAAGGTTAAGTATTTGCCCAGAAGCTCACAGCAGCTAGAATTAGATTGCTAGTACTGTACCACAGCTTTAACCCTCACGGTCTCTCTCTCTCTCTCTCTCTCTTTTTTTTTTTTAAAGAAATGCTATTATTTATTTATTTATTCATTTATTTATTCATGTGTATGCATGTGTATCTGTGTCTGAGGAGGTCATAGGGGTTTCCTGGTGCTGGAAGTGTAGCCGGTTGTGAGCTGCATTACATGGGTGCTGGGAATCAGACTCTGGTCCTCTGCAAGGTCAGTATGCTCTCTTAATCACTGAGCCATCTTCGCAGCCCCCCTCCTAGACTCTGAATAGACATTTTAATTTTGTTTAGGGTGTTCATTTCTTTAGTTTCTGGTTATTCCTTTTATAATACAGCATTTCAAGGATCTGTTCCCTTTTCCAATTCTGAAGCAATAGAGTGACTATGGAGATTGCTGACTGGAACTATTCATTCATCACCATGCACTAGCATTGTGGGGCTCTCTTCTTGCAAGTTCTGTGGATACATTCTTAGCATCTTTCTTGCCACATGGTTGGGACTCAATAAATAGTTATTCAGTCAGTAAATCAGTTTCATGGACCTACTAAAAAGGAGAGAGTTTTAAATATGGCTTTTTCTTTGAATGCTTGTGTTTCATATACCAGAAAGAGTGTGGTGTTCTCGTAGAAATGGTCTTTGGGAGAGAAACAAATTTTACAGAGAGATAATAAAAATGGTTTTTCGTGATCCCTTTGGTCCTTGAATTCTTTGAAAAGCAGAATAATGTATTTTCTCTTTCATGTAAAGAATTCTATCTCTCTAAGTCCAGGACAATGTATTAATTATATTGTGGGTGTGATTAGACATCAATTAGCAATTGTAATGTCTCTTTGCTAAAATGAGGAATGCTTTATGAACCTTTCCTTTTCATTTTACTGTTTCAGTATCTCTTAGAAGAACACTGTTAAATACACTCATACACAGATACACATGCATACACATAAATAAATAATGTGATCTAATGAGAAAACAACATTCTCTTAAGAGAAAGCAATACAGAGTATTTTGACTACAGAAGAGTTGGAAGTTTGCCAGCCTGCAGAGCTGACATTTTAGAAGAATATTCTAATGATTCTGATTTGATCATAATATATGTTATATGTATTGAGTTATGGTGCTGTACTCCATAAATAAATACAAATCATATGTTAATCATAGAGTATGGTATGTCCACTGAAACAGTGATAACCTTTATTTTTTATATTTCTTGGGTCAGTTTTATATTCAGAACCTAAGTTTTTTAGTAAAATTGAGAATAAACCAACTTAACAGGGCATATTAAATCTAAACTAAATGACTCAAATACTACATCACTGTTACTTATATGAAAGATTATTTAGGCTTTGGTATCCCAGGCTGTGCAGCCTTTTGTTTATCTAACTTTTGTGCCTGTTTTCACTATAGCCAAAAAAGGTTTGAATTAAGGAAAAAACATCACTTAGAATGGAGCAAACTTTAATTGCCTTTTACTAATTTCAGTTTGGAGCCTAATTTGATATGTTTCTATTTGGGGGTTTAATTTTTAGAATTTAAAAAGTAACCCTGATCAGCCAGCTGTTATCTTACTGCTGAGACAAGTTCAGTGTAAATCACTCCTGGAATCACAGAAGCCCCTCCCAGATGCTGTACTTGAAGAACTGCAAAAAACAGTCATGTCCAATTCCACCTCCGTTCCAGCGTGGCAGGTAAGTTCTCTACTTTCTTATGTGAGTCCTAAATTAAAATATGCTGGGATGCTAGTTGAGGAATACACTCCATCTCTGTTTAAGTTTTGCTTTTAGGCTCATCATATATTTGTCATTTTCCAAATGTGAAGAATATTGTGGAAATTTAACATGAATTTAAGATCTGCCTCTATAGTCCTTAAGTCATTCTGTGTTGAAGATGCTTATGATGAGGATGCTGTCTTATGATGAGGATGCTGTCTTATGATGAGGATGCTGTCTTATGATGAGGATGCTGTCTTATGATGAGGATGCTGTCTTATGATGAGGATGCTGTCTTAGTCACTTCTCTTCTGTGATAGAATACTTGATGGAAGTGGCATAAGGAAAGAGGCTCCTGGTTCTGGGATGATTTGAGTGAAAACGTCTCCCATAGGCTCAGGCATTTGAACACCTGGTCCCTTGTTGATGGCACTGTTTGGAGGTGTTTAAAAGTGTGGTCTTGCTGGAAGACATATGTCTTGGGGGTGGAGCTTGAGAGTGTGTAGCCTCAGCTCATTTATGGCTTGCACTCTGACTCCTGAAGTGATCTCTCAGGTTCCTGTTCCTGATGCCATCCCGGCCACTTTTGCCATCATCTCTGCCATCCTGGAGTCCTTTACTCTGGAACTGTAAGCCAAAATAAACTCTATTCCTTCCACAAGTCACATTCAGTCATGGTGTTTTATCACAGCAACAGAAAAATAACTAATATAGAAATTGGTACCAGCATATGAGCACTTTCTTAAAGAATCTGACAATGTTTTTTAAAGGATATGGAAGACTTTGGAATTTTGAACTAGAAAAGTGGTTGAATGCTATAAGTAGGTATAAAAGGCCATTCTAGTAGGAGCCTGGAAGACAGTAGTAATGCAGACCGTGGAGGCCCAGCTCAAGAGGTTTCAGATGGGAATAGTCTTAGCAACTGGGCTAGAGAACATTTGGGTTATAATTTTGCAAAGTATCCAGCTACTTTGTGCCCATGTCCTGAGAACTTTACTGAGGCAAATGGAAAAGTAATGGACTAATTTCTTTAATGGAGAGCAATTACACCGTATAATGTTGAGTCAGTAGACTGCTCACTATTATTTACTCCTTTCAGGTCTGCAAAGACAAAGAGTAAGTGGGCAGAAAGAAATATCAAATGAGCAGCTTGGAGAAAAAAATGAGCACCAGAAAGCTTAATGTTTCAGCCAAGGTGTGTGCTAGAAGAGAGGCTTTAATTGTGAAGGAGATTAGTGCCATTAAGGAGACTTCTGCTTTACACTGAAACAAAGGGCAGCATGCCAGGCCCAGACCTCACCCAGCTAAGCTTCCGTCTTGTAGAAAGAGAGCCTAAGGTGTTATCTAATTCTAGAGAACAGCTGAATGAAAGTGTTCCTGCTAATGTGATTCGAGGGGGTAATTGTCCATTCCAAGCTGGCAGCCAAGCTTGGCAGTGGTACTGGCATTAGAGGCACAAAGAAGGCAAGCGTGAAGGGTTCTCTGTTTTCTTATAGTCTCAGATCGCTGCGGAGCTCAGGCAGCATGTGGTAGGGGTGTCCCTGACTGAAGATCCTGAGAGGGCAAGAGGCTGTGTGTGAAGTGGGAACTGTTATGCCAGGATCACGGAGACCCCCAAAAGACCGCCACAGAGACTGAGTCCCATACATAAAAGCAAAGAGCCTTTATTTCAAGCTTGAGCTTGGTCTCTCTGTCTGTCTGATGCAGCAGTAAAAGCAGAGAGCGCCGAACCCGGGTGGGGTAGAGTTTTTGTCATAGTAGAGGTTGTGGGTGAGGAGATTTTCAGGGTTCAGGACCCTGATTGGCTGATATTTGTCTAGGGGTGTCTTGGCAAAAGGGGAATGGGTGTGTGCTAGCTCAGGGACATCTGGGAATCTTAATCTAATCTTATTTAATGGTTGGAATGTTTGAAATGTCAGGTACTTTCCCTTAGATGCTGGCCCTCCCTAGCTGGTGTCAGCTTACAGATCTGAGTGCTGCCTGCCAGTAAACTGAAACTCAGGCCTCCCTTTTAGCTGTTTTTATGGAGCCTGTCATGGCAGCAGTGTGGCCAAGCTGCTGCTTGGGTCCCATGTAAGTGTGAAGCCTGTGTTGCAGTGGCGATCCCAAGATAGTAAAAAATGCCAGAGCTTTGAGAGCTATCCAGGAGAGCTGCAGACAGGGAGTGGAACCAGCCTAAGAGGGAGCTGTATGTTGCAGGCGACAGAGCTGAAGGGGCTGAGCCATCTAAGCCCTTTAAATCTAAAGTCCTAGATGCCAGGTACGGAGCTAAAGAATTTGATGTTTCCCTGCTGTGTTTCAGTCTTGCTTTGGTCCAGTCTTTCCCTCTATACCCCATTCCTCGTGTTTGGAATGGGGATGTGTATGCTGTGCCATTATATATTGGAAGAATGTAATCTGCTTTATTTTACCGTGGTTTACAGTTAAGAATTTACCTTGAGTCTCAGAAGAGACTTTGGACTTTTAAACAGTGTTGAGACTATGGGAACTTTTGGAGTTGGACTAAATGCATTTTGCATTATAATGGTCAGGAACCTTTAGGGGCCAGGGAATGGGATGTGGTTGTTGAGATGAGAAAGGCCCCCCCGTAGGCTCAGGCATTTGAAAACAAGTCTCTAGTTGATGGGAGTTTGGGGACATACGGGAAATGCAGCTTTGCTAGAAGGGGTCTGTTACTGTGGGTTGGCTTTGAGAGAATATAGTCACTTCTGGTTTGCTGTCTCTGCTTCCTGATGTGACCTCAGTTTCTGGCTGATGCTTCCATGCCTACCACTTGTTGCCGTGCCTCCTAGCCACGATGAACTCTTATCTTTCTGAAACCGTAAGCCTTCTATAAAAGAACACTCTTCCTTCTATACTTTGACTTGATTGTGGTGTTTTATCTCAATACCAGAGAAGGAACTACCAGTCTATCATAGTAGCAGGAGCTGGAGGCAGCTGGTCACCTTGTATGTAGGAAGCAGAGAACAATAATTCCAGTGCTCAGTTAAGCTTATTTTCTCTCTTTTTAAATTCAGTTTAGGACCTCAGTAATAGAAGCTGTCAATATTTAGTGTGCTGGCTGGTTTTATGTCAACTTGACACGAACTAGAGTCACCTGAGAGGAAGGAACCTTAATTAAGACAATACCTTCATAAGACTGGGTTGTAGGTGCCAGGTGGCGGTGGTGCACTCCTTTAATCCCAGAACTCAGGAGGCAGAGGCAGTTGGATCTCTGAGTTTGAGGCTAGCCTGGTCTACAGAGTGAGTTCCAGGACAGCCAGGGCTATTCCACAGAGAAACCCTGTGTTGGAAAAACAAAAACAAACAAACAAAAAAAGATTGGGTTGTAGGCAATCCTGTAAGGCATTTTCTTAACTAGTGATTGATGGGAGAGGGAAGGCCCAGCCCTGTTGTTGGATCCTAACGGCTCCCTCAGGGGAGGAGGTGAGAAGGCGTGGTGTCAACGACACAGACACTGGGAGTCAGTTGAAGGCAAACAGCAGACTCCTTTATTCAATAACGAGGAAGGCCTTATATACCCTCCTCCCAGCACCCAAGCTCTGTCCCAGTCTGGTGGCATTGCATGGTCTTCTCTGTTTGTCAGGAACTCTGACAGCACCTGTTGCTAGGCCCTTAGACAGACTCCAGGTTGGCTCATAAGGAAGTACGTTATGTAGTGCTTTGGCAACTGGTTTGAGCCAATTTCCTCAACCCTATAGGACTGCTACTCACAGCCCATTGTGGGTGGTGCCATCCCTGTACTGGCGGTCATGGGTCCTATATGAAAGCAGGCTGAGCAAGCCAGTAAGCATGACCCCTCCATAGCCACTGCATCAATTTCCTTCAGTGATGAACAGTGATATAGAAGTGTAAACAAAATAAATCCTTTCCTCCCCAACTTGCTTTTTGGTCATCACAGCAGTAGAAACTCTAAGGCATTTAGGTTGAGTATACCCATCTCAATTAGCTTAGTCTAGATACTCCCTCACAGAAATGTCCTGAGGTTTACTTATATGGTAATTTTAAATTTCAAATTGACAATCAAGATTAACCATTATATGCCTAAGTTGGGGTTTCTATTGTGAAGAGAAACCATGACCATAGTAACTGTAAGGTCTTTGCTAAATATTTTTATCTATGTTCTCATTTCTTTGTCCTTTATTTTCTAAAAACTAATTTCTTCTTTTGCCATTTCTTTGCAGTTTGTTTCATCTTAATTTTTGTTTCCTGCCATAGCTTCTTAAGACAGAATTTTGTTATTCTAATATCTGGGGTTTTTTTGTTTGTTTTTTTTTGGGGTATGTGTGTGTGTGATAGTTTTACATGTGTGTACAGATGCACATGTATGTATGCATGAATGTAGAGCCCCGAGGTTAATATTGGTTGTCTTTTTCAGTTGCTGAGTGTCTCTCACTGAATGCAGAGCTCACTGGTTTGGCTTCTCTGGCACGCCAGCTTGCTTTGAGTGTTTCTTGTCTCATATCTTGGACACTCGGATTACAAGTGGATGTTGTGCCCACCTGGCTATTACACGGACCCTCAGGATCCAAACTCTAGTCTTTACTTGTGTCACGAGTCTCTGCCTGATGACCCCGCATCCCTGATGTCTAATGTGCATCCTGGTGTCGCTTTTCTATCACCACTTGTTTCAAAATGCTGCTTGTCATTGGGATTTCTTTGTCTTTTTTTATATGAAGCATCTTGGAAATTTTCCAATATGAGAGTATTCTAGGTATTTCCCTGTTAATGATTTCAAGCATAATTCCATTTAGTTAGAACATAACTTTATGATTTCAGGCCAGTGGTTGATGAAATATAGTTGCTGTGATAGTTTTTGAGACGGGCTCGGTAGTAGCTCAGGGTGTCCTGGAACTTGTGATCCTCTTGTGAGGCCTTCAGAGTGCTGGGATTATAGCATAAGCTAACATGTCTGGCTTCAGATTTGTTTTATAACCCAGCATAAACATGTTCTGCGGTGTTGATTACATCCTTGAAGTAGGTAGTGTACACCAAGCTTGTCATTGCTTCTATCTTTTGTCTCCTTACTGAATTTTATTTTTTCTGGTTCTTAGTATAATTACTGAAATAGGCATGCTAAAATCGCCTGTCACTCTGAACTTGTCCACTGTTGGTTTCTGTCAGCCTTTTCTCATGAATTCTATGTTGTTGGGTATTGTCATTTGTTTTTGCTCCTTTTTTGGGGGGGGGCCGCCACCCAGCTCCCAAATAAATCACACATGGAGTCTTATTGTTACTTATAAATATCCCGCCTCGGCTTGGCCATAAAGTAAAGTTTCTAGCCAGCTTTACTTATCTTAAATTACCCATCTACCTTTTACCTCCGGGCGTTTCCCATTCTCTTCTGTAAATCATACCCTTACTCCGTGACTTGCTGTGTAGCTGCCCCTGGAATCCTCCTCCTTCTCTGACTCCTAGCTCTTTTCTCCCACATTTCTCCTTCTATTTATCCTCTCTGCCTGCTAGCCCTGACTTTTTCTCTCTCCTGCCTCACTATTGGCCATTCAGTTCTATCAGGTGTTTTAGACAGGCACAGCAACACAGCCTCACAGAGTTAAAGAAATGCAACATAAACAAAAGTAACACACTCAAAATAATGTTCTACACCAGTTGGGGATTTGCACATGTAGAAATGCTTTGCAAAGGAGTGCTGTTACCGTATCAACTTCATGCCGTGCTGTTTCTGGCTTAAAGGCTACATTGTTGCGTAGCACTAAAGCTGCACAACTTGCTTTTGATTAGTATTTTCATAGTTTATCAGTTTTTGCATTGTAATTTGATATTCTTGATTTGTCATCTTCCAGACTCTTTAGACTTCAGCTTGATATGACTAGGAAATTGTTGCTGGCAGAATAAACAGTGTGATTACCCTCATTCTTTTGGGGGACACAGAACATAACAATAATTGGATTAAAAAATTAAGTTCATTAGAGTTGATTGAATATGTTGGGAGTGGGGAACCAGACTGTGTACTGAACTCAAATGTTCTGCATCTGTCTTCCTTTCTATTCCTTAGTGGTTGGCACAGGTATATCAGTCCCAAGGAATGATGGGGGCTGCAGAGATGTGTTACAGAAAGAGTCTACAAGTGGCATCCCAACAGGGCAGTTGGAGTGGGAAGCTCTCGAGTCTGTTGAAGCTAGCACTGCTAGCATTGGAAGTCTGCATGGTAAGCATGTTATCATTGTGATCATGGAAACGTGATTCCTTCAAAGATCCTTTTTCCTTTTTAAATTTGGAATCTTTTACATAGTGGTACTCTGTTTTCCCCATTGTTTCATTAGCTTTTGCTGTGGTCCCTTGTAGACTTTGCACCTTAAGCTCTGGAGGAACATAGAGCAATAGCAACCCACAGCTACACCAGAATTTCTTAACTATTTAGGGACAATCTAAGAATGCAATTTTAAAAGTTGAGTTATACTGATGGAAGCAGATGCATAGATTCACAGGCAGGTGCCAGGCCAAGCTCCAGGAGTCCAATCAATGAGAAAGAGGAAGGATTCTATTGAACAAGGGACATCGAGATCATGATGGGAAAACGTACAGAGATGAACAGCCAAACTGGTGGAAACACATGAAATTTGGACCAATGGCTGTGGAGCCCCCATGGTACTGGACTAGGCCCTCTAGATAGGCGAGACATTTGTTTAGCTTGAACTGGTTAGGGGGCCCCCAGGCAGTGGGATTGGGATCCGTCCCTGGTGCATGAACTGGCTTTTTGGAGCCCAGTACCTATGGTGGGACACCTTGCACAGCCTTGGTGCAAGAAGGAGGAGGGGCTTGGACCTGCCTCAACTGAATGCACCAGGATTTGCTGACTCCCCATGGTGACCTTGCCTTGGAGGAGGTGGGAATGGGGGATTGGTTGGGGGAAAGGCTGGGGAGAGGAAGGAGGGAGGAGAGGGGGATCTGTATATAAAATGAATAGAAGATTTCTTAATAATAAAAAAAATAAAATATAAGAAAAAAATTTAAAAAAAGTTGAGTTATAACAAGTGTATTCTTGGTAACTTAAGAATTCAAAGCCTGCTACTTACTGTAACAAAGATGCCAGGATTTAACTTTTTTTCTTAATTCAATTTGACATTCCTCAAGGTATTTCTAGAGATCTCTATGACTTGATACCTGTTGTCTGATGCCAATACATAGATGAACCTAAACAGTATTATGTGTCAGTAGGGAAAAATTTTAAATATATACGTGAGAGTGAAGTCAATCTGCAGAACAATTTATCTGATATGATCCTATTTGAGCTCCTGTGTATTTGGTGTATATGTTAAAGAATCAGGATGTGTACCGTGTGTGTTTGTAGCTGTCCAAACACAGCAGTGCATAGATACCATTATGTGGAAAGACACATGAGAACTATAATGACACTGACTTTGATTAGGGATAAGGAAGACATTTTAAATCATGTCTTTTGATAGTATTTGATTTTTTATCATATTCATATAGCTTATGGTTAGAAGAGACTGTCCTGTGTAGTCCTGAAATAACTTGTTTTTACCTAAGTATTCCATGCAAATATGATTTAACTTACTTTACGTATCTTGATTAGGAAACAAAAGAGTTACGAATTGTTTGGGGGTTGAACGCTGTTGGTGGTGATGTAGACCCATGGGCCATGTTTTGTTTTCCTCTGTGGCTTTACCAGTGCGTTATGCATAGGTGGTTCTGGAGCAAGTGAACAAGAAACAGCAGATGACTGAGGTGTAAAGAAACTGTGGAAACAGTCAATACAGGTTATCTCACTGGTAATCCGAATGTAGTTGTCACCTGTGAACTCATAGGGAGTGGCACTGTTAGGTGGTGTGGCCTTGTAGGAGGAAGTGTGTCACTGTGGAGGGTGGCTTTAAGGTCTCCTGTGCTCAAGCTCTGCCTAGTTCAGACCACTTCCTGTTGCCTGTGGGTCAAGATGTAAGAACTCTCAGCTCCTCCACCACCATGTCTGCCTGCATGCTGCTTTGCTTCCTGTCGTGATGATAATGACTAAGCCTCTGAACTGTAAGTGAGTCACCCCAATTAAATGCTTTCCTTTATAAGAGTCACCATGGTCCTGGTGTCTCTTCATAGCAATAGAAACCATAAGACACTGACATATTGTTTTACATGTTCCAGCTTTAGGTTTCACCAGTCTTTACACCCTTGGGAGTGGTTGAGCTACAGAAGACACGTAATTTCTGATGTACTCTTGTAAATAGAAAGAAGGACAGTAGGTACTTTTTAGCCTGAATTAATATTTGTTGCTTATAAATATCATTCTAGATTTTTAAATTCTAAGATATTAAAACCACCTGGAATGAAATGAATGATAATTATAGCAATACCAAATGCACAGAGCACTAGGCTAAGTGCTTTGTACAATTACTGGTTTAGTAGTTACAGCAGCCCTCTCTTAGAGATGCATAAATCAGAATGGTGTTTAGCAATAACCACATGTGTTTTCCCCTGCCCCCAACCACTGCACCCTAAGATCATTTTCTCCTAGAGCCTGTGTTCTGGTTCTGTCAGTTACTTCCTGTGACCTTTTCAACTCTTCAAACAGTTCAGCACCATTTTTTCCTGTTTTTCTGCTGACACCTACTTCGCCTTCTTGTGGATTTATTATGTTAAGTATAAATGTATAAATGTTTGTATTATGTTAAGTATAAATTTATAAATGTATAAATGTTTGTAAACATAACCATAAAGCACTAACTAATTTAGTTTGTTATAAGACACCAATAGTTACTGTAAAGAAATAAAATTGATGCCATATATAAAGTAAAACATTGATAGGAGAATGTGGGTATTTTAAAATTGGATTGTATGTGTGATAATGTGTGAAGAGATATTAAACTAATAAGTTACTAAAGCTATTAGACTCAGATGCCACAGTGAGATATCAGATCAGGAAAGATGTTTTTGAGACAGAAGATAGTTAGCCCATAAGGAAAGTATAAACACCTCAGAAGAGCCACACTGAGAGGTAAAACATTTCTGCACTGGTGATGTTGCCTCCCCGCTTTTACCATAGGGCATTTCAAAAGACACATGAGAATAAAGAGCTCCTCAGATGCTTGGTGTGTTTCTTTTTGTCCTTTGGGCACATGTTTAAAGGTGTTTGGACAGGTGACTGTCATTCAGAGGCTGTTGGTTCTCCAGTGTAAGGTTTTAATACGGAGCAGGAACTTGCTGGTGTTTTTGGAAATGACTTCCTACTTCTAGGAGAAAGTGGCCAATGGTTGTTGAATTTCAAAGTGGGTAGGAATGCCTGCCTAGAGTGACACTGAACTTGTATTCACATTCTGTTGGCTCTTTCCTGGGCTAGTAATGGAGGCTGTAAGTCTCTTGGATGTGCACAGTGGCAGCAAGCCATAGTTTCCATTTCTGCCGTGGCCTAATGAGGGTGAACAGCCAGTGCTGTGCTGTGTTGCTAAGCTATAGTGCATGGTAGGTTAAATGCATTTTGACATTATGATATTATCCACTTGCAGTGGGTTTGTTGGGATTTAACCCTGTCACAAGGGAGAAGCATCTGCAGGGGTGTGCTAATGGACATGTGTCCCATGCCACCACACAGGGTTCCACACTGGATTTAATGCTTTGCACTTGTCCTCTACAAATTTTTAATAATTTCTGAATACTTTCATTTTTGTGCTGAGACCTGTGGGTTGTGTGGCTGGATGGGCATCTCCTCCTGAAGTTGAAAGTCTGAGAAAGCTAGCCTAAGGAAAACGGCTTTAAAATCTCTCAGGCCTGGAGAGCCTCATGTCATTTCTTAGTAGAGTTCGCCATATGTAAACTTCTAAAAATTTACTAAGGGCCTGGATATTGCAGAATATTTGTTTAGCAATGTAAAGATGTGTTGCTGTTTTACCTTGCCTGCCTGTGAGACCTGATTGGTCTCACAAAATCAGAATGGCCACCAGCAAGGGAGAAGGTGGAACTTCCAGGCAGTGAGAGTACGTAGGAGGAGGAATTGAGACTTGGAAAAGAAAGAAAAGGAGATGCCAGGGGCTGGCCAGGCAGCCAGACAAGGAGGAAGCTGGAAAGTAGGACATACAGAATGAAAGAAAGGTAAAAAGCCCCAAGGCAAAGCGTAGATGATTAGAAATAGGTTAAATTAAGTTAAAAGAGCTAGTGAGGCAAGCCTACGTTAAGGCTGAGCATTCATAATTAATAATAAGTCTCAGTGTCTTTATTTGGGAACTGGCTGATTGTTGACTACACCTGGAAATACAGTTAGCATGAAGGTACAGGAGTACAGTGGAGGGACAGCATGCCATCATGGGCTTTGCTGAGCCTCAATGAGAGGGTCTTGAGAGACTGTGGATAGTGTCCTTGCATAGTAACTGAACTCTTCGATACACAGAATGTACTTTATTTAGATAGTTAATGAATGTGTACAAGATGATGTGAGTCATGAGTCCTACTATAACTTATATACAGAGACAGAAAAGGTCTATAATTTTATTATTATTATAGTTTTTAATAATGTTTTCATACAGTGTATTCTGAGTACAGTTCCCCTCCCAGCTCCTTCCAGATCTTCTGCACCTCCTCACCCAACCACCCACCCAATTCCATGACTTTCTCTCTCTTTTTAGAAAATAGATAAGTAAAGCAAAACAGAATTAAAAGAAAAGGTACAAGAAACACATACACACAAACACGCACAAATAAAACCCATAAAAACACAAAATTGGAAACATAATATGTAAGCAAAAGACCAGTAAGACAAAAAAATGCCCAAACAGCAATATGAGACAAAAAGTCTATGAAAACATCATTGAATTCATGTTGTGTTGGCCATCTATTGCTGGGCATGAGGCCTACCCTGAAGTATGATGAATATACCCAGTGAATTGTATCTATCGGGGGAAACTAAGGTTTCCTTAGCAAGCAGATGTCAGTTGGAGATAGCTTCTGGGTTAGGGAGGGGAGCTCATGCCTTCTCAGTGTTGGGGTCCCATTTAGCTTGATCCTCTGCAATCCCTGTGCCACGCAGTCTGTGAGTTCATATGTGAGTCAGCCCTATTGTGTGTGGAAGACACTGTTTTCTGGGAGCCCTCCATCCCCCTGGCTCTCAGAATCTTTTGGTTTCTTCTTCTACATATTTCCTGAACCCTGAGAGGAGGAGGTTGATAAAGACACCCTGTTTAAGACTGAGTGTTCCAAAGCCTCACACTCTGTGCACATTGTGCCTGTATTTGTTCCCATCTGCTGCAAGAGGAAACTTTTCTGATAATGGCCGGTCGAGGCACTGATCTATGAGTGTATCAAAATAATGTCATTAGGAGTCATTTTATTGCTGTTATTTAAGAAAAAAAATAGTATTTGTTTTCCCCTAGGCCCATGGCCTATCTAATCTTGAGTCCTTGACCACCTGAGCAGTGTTCCATCTCATAGAGTGGACCTTAAATTCAGTCAGATGGTGGTTGGTTACTCACATATTTGTGCCATTATTGCATCAGCATATCATTCAGGCAGGTTGCCATTGTAGATCTCAGGACTTGTAGCTGGCTTGATATTTACCTTTCAGTACCATGTACACTAACTAGTCAGTAGGGGTGAAGGCTCTAGTTAGGCACCAGCTCAACTTCTCTGTGTTCAATGAGATAAATTAGTATTATCTTCCACAATAGAGATTCACTCAGTCTATGGAGAGCAACTAATAGCTTGTCAATAGCCTGAGATGTTTGAGGGTTCCCATCGGGCCCATTTGGCTAACAACTCAACTAGATGTAACCCATTCCTAGCAGTGGAGGTTTTCACTTGGTGGCAAAAGATGTCTAGTTGAGTCATTGCTTCACCTATTACTTGGTGATTCCATTTGGATTTCTTTTATATGTGTATATTTTTAGGATGTTCTTACAGTAGTAGGTTTCTTTATAACCCTCTAATAATGTGCTAGCTGTCCCTTTCCTTATTCCCTTCCTTGCTCCTCTCTTCCATCTCGTTCATCCTCCTGCTCCAGTGCCCCCTTGTTTCTCCCTACTTATCTATTCTATTTCCCCTCCCTTGGTAGGTCTTCTCTTCCTCCATATTACTTATATACAGAAAAGAGAGAAAAAGTCTATAGTAAGTATTTTTGTTGTCATTTATGTTTGTTTGGATAGGGTCGCACTGTGTATCCCTGGCTGGCCTGGAACTTGCTGTGTAAACCAGGTCAGTCTTGAATTCAAAGATCCACCAGCTTCGGCTTCTCAAGTGCTGGGATTAAAGGCATGAAACACTACTCTCAGCTCAATAATTAATTTTAAAGAGCTGAGAAGATGAAACCAAAAGTACACTCTGATTATGTTGTTGAGTGTGTGTAAACAGATTTGATTTCTTAGAATTTAGAGAGTTTATTTTTGAGAGTACTGGTGAGAGTTTCGTGTGTGTGTGTGTGTGTGTGTGTGTGTGTTCACACGTGTGGCTGTAGATGTGTGCACACATATGTAGAGGTCAGAAGTCAGTGTTGAGTTGCTGAGGTAATTAGGACCCGGAAGCACCAGTCCATCAGTCTAGCTGCCCAGTTGCCCTCCCCGTGCTGGCCCCGCCTCCCTGGTGCTGAGATTGCAGGCGTGCCACCATGCTCCGCCTCGCCTGCAACCCCAGCCTTCACATGCGTGCTAGAGAGTTGCGCTCGGGTCCTCACACTTGCACAGCGAGTGCCTTATCCACAGAACCGTCTCTCTGTTTCTAGTTTGTAAAAGGACGTGAGTTATTGTTTTATAGATGCATCCATCGGTAGGTGTCGGCCACCACCCAGTCCCTTGTTCTCTGCAGTTAGATCTGTTGGGGTTTTCTGCCGTGGTATCCGTCTGTTGTAAGGGAATTTTCTCTGATGAAGGGGTAAGAACTAAACTTCTCTGTGAGTACAAGCAAAAGTGTTTCTAATTTAGGGACCGTGCTGGTGTAGTAAAGTGGCTGGCACCTCCCTAGTCTCGAGTAAATGGCTAAGTTCCCAGTCCCAGCCGTAGGTTTGCCTCTTGTCCAGCAGCCTTAAGTCCAGTGGGAGCTGCTGGACACTGCCAAGTTGTGTGCGCCTCCGCTGCTGCGCCTCCGCCGCGCTGTTGGGCATCGCGCCGTGCCGGCAGCTGTGTTCATATGCATGCATGTGACAACAACTAAACCCGGAGGCTATGGGTTTGAGAGAGCGAGGGGGCACGTGGGAGGGAGAGAGGAAAGGAAAGTAGGGAAATGAGGTAATTTTGTGTGGTATGTAACACACAATTATATATCACACACACACACAGTGCTTTATTTCTGCTCTCATATGTACAAAAGATGTCTAGCAATCTCCGTTATCCTTTTGTATATTCATTAAGCATTGGTCTTCTTCCTTGATTGCACAAACTACTCTTGCTTACACTATACTTAGAGGCTATTGCTCTAATTTTGTTACAATTAAGTGAAATATACTATGTATTTGTTATACTTATTATATGTATTTGTTTTAATATGGTTATATTAAAATGTGAAATAAACTATTTTTGACTTTTAAAATGCATATTCTGGATACTTGTAATTAAGAAATCTTGGTACAATTTAAGGATTTTTTGTTTTGTTTTCTCTTTTAGTATGTTTATTTTTTGAGGTTATAATTGTATAATTGCTTCCTTCCCTTTCTTTTAATCATCCTTTGTGTGCCCCACCTCCCACCCTGTAGTGTTGATTCATCTAAAACACAAATCCTACACCTAGGGTTCAGGGATTATTTCAGAAAGGCGGGGCAAAAAGATTCTAAGAGCCAGAGGAACAGGGGTTTTGCTGAGCTTGTTCTTGAGGTGGGATCTCATTGAGGATGACTGAACTTTTACTCTCCCTGCATCCACCTGCTAGATAGCAGGCATGCGCCACATCTCAGTTATGTGGTGCTGGGCATGAATCACAGCGCTTCATGCCTGCTAGCCAAACAAATGGGTTACCGCCCCAGCCCCAGAAAAGCTTCAGTAACTTTTTCTTCTTACCTAGTTTTGTTACCGCTTATTTTCAGTTACTGTTTCCTAGGAAGTTCAGGCTATTTCTGAATCAGTACTTTTTATAAAACTTGTTTGTGACAAGGAATAGACACGCATGTTCCTCCCATGCAATGACAGTTCTTTGGTTTCAGTATTAATGACTTCGATTCAATTCTTCTCTCATCTGCTTTGCATATTCTATGTTGTGATTATTAAATTTCAGGTTTTCTTTTTTGATGATTTTTGAAGAGCAATACCTTAAATTTACCACTGTCTTAGTCACTGTTCTATTGCTGTGAAGAGATGCCATGACCATGGCAACTCTTATAAAAGAAAGCATTTAATTGGGGCTTGCTTACAGTTTCAGTGGTTTAGCTTGTCAGGATGGAGAGCATGGCAGCATGCAGGCAGACATGGTAATGGAGAAGTAGCTGAGAGTTCTACATCTAGATCAGCAGGCAGCAGGAAGAGTGAGAGACACTGGGCCTGCTTGGACATTTGCAACCTCAAAGCCCACCCCTCAGTGACACACTTCCTCCAACAAGACTATACCTCCCAATAGTGCCACTCCATGGTGACCACGCATTCAAATCTGTTCGCCTATGGTGGGCATTCCTACTCAAACCACCACAACCATTATTAAAAAGTTTGGTCATGTGAAATTTGGTAAACTAAAGAAAAGATTACTAGTTAATAGGGCTGTTATCTATAATGTATATTTTTCTTTTAGCAATGTTTTCCTGTTATAAAATGATACCTTCTTTTTGAGATCTTCCCTTATCTCAGTGTACCCTGTTTTGTTGATCCTTAAGGGCAGGGAACAGATCCTAGATCATTTTTAGTAATTATAATTTTGCTCTTTGTAGTATTTGTATGATGATAGACAAGAAGGGGATCCATAGTGAGAGCTGAGCTATGTGCTTTTTTTAAAGTGAACATGTCAAAACTTTGAGTTAATGTTAATTTTGCACTTTTTAGGCTAATGTTTCAGGTGATCACTGGTCGTCCTTGCTTCAAGAGGCTACAAGCGAGGCCTTGAAAGTTTGCTTTTGTCCTCTGGCTGTCTTCTTGCAAGCTTTGTTACAGTTCAACCGCAAGATGGGAGCAAGGTATAAGAAATCTGTCTTTTTTCTTGGCTTAGAAATCCTACTTCACTGTACAGCCTCCTAGGAAATGATCAAGGGAGGATTTATAATGTGATAAACTAGTGTAACAAGCCTTGGGATATTCTTATGTTTCTACTTTTGGAACATTTTATTCTGTATTGTAGTGAGGAAGAAAACATTTCATGTTTATTTAACAAAAATTTGCTGCATGGATATGCATATGACAAGTTTGGCATGGTAGCATTTCACGTGAAGATACCCTTGAGGTTTTTTATTTTCTTCTATTTTAGGGTAAGCCATCAGTGTAGTGTGGATTCTAGAAGCAGACAGAATGAGAGGGACCCTGACTGAAGGTTATATTAATAGAAGTTTCGCTAATTTAACAAACTGGAAAAATTAACAAATGTTGAAAAAAACAGAGCTATTTGAAAATATGTGCTTTCATGTCTAGAAAAGTTAAAGGCTATTTGAAATAAAACAAAATTTTGGAAATATTATTAGAGTTTGGGGTGGAAGGTCTCAAATATGAAGAACATTACTTAGAAGTCATATATATGAGTGGAAAGTATTTAAAATTTTTAAAAATAACATGGTTCTACTACATCAACCATATTAAAACAATGAACATTACTGACACTGAATACAGAATAGGTATTATAGAAACAGAGCTCACTATATATACAGATATGCCCCCCTCAAAAAGCCAGCCCTCACAAGTAAGACTGAAGTATGGACTAAGATCCTGCAGCTCGTCAGCAGTTCTGGCATTTATAATATTTATCTAGTCAGAGGTGAGGTGGGGTGGGGGAGCTGTGTGTGTGCGTGCATGTGGACAGTCTCGCTGAGAAGTGTTGTCTGTAAACTACCTGATGAGCCCTTCCTGTTGATGCACATTGTGAGCTGCAGAAGAACGCTAGCTCCCGGGTGACCCTACACTTTCTGACCATTGTTATCATTTTCAGAAATTAGCCCCTAAATATGCAGTCTAGGAAGAAACTGTGATTATGATGTAATCCTGTGTGTAGACTTCTTCAAGACAAATTCTTCAGTTCTGCTTGGTCTAATTGCTATTTATAGGATCCTTCTACTTAGCAGTCCTGAAATTAGTTGTTTTATGTTATTTCTACCACTAAGTTGTTTTGAGGGTCATCAATGTTAGTAAGTTAGGAGAGAAAAAAAATCATAACTGTAAATCATTTTGTAATTATATGAGTTGAGTTCACATATTGTACATGTCCTTGAAAACACTGAAAACTTGATTTTACACATGTGGCCTATTATATAGTAATATATTTCTTGTTCCTATATATCATGGCTGTGGTTGTTTACTTATTTGCTTGTTTGGTTGGTTGATTAGTTGGTTACTTAAGTATTTTTTTCTCCTTGTGAATTTTCTTAATTTTTGAGATAGGGTCTTACTGTGTACCCCAAGTTGCCTTAGACCTTGTGAGCATTTTGCCTTCACCGTCTCAGAACTAAGCTTATAGGCATTCACCACCATGCCTGGCTGATTTTTCTGCAACTGTCAAAAAAAGATACAGGGTAAACACCCAGAAGTGCTCATACAATTTAGAATCTTCTCCTCACTGTATGTTAAGTGAGCTTTAATTTGCATGTCTGCCATAGGAATAACAACGGCAATAAGATTGTGAATATAAGTATGACTAAATGTCATAGGGCTTTGTGTATACAAACATTTAATAAATAATTATTTTCTTATCAATAAAAATCATAAAGTAATCAGATAAGATTTTCAAATGAATGTGAGACTAATATATAAAATCCATCATAGTAACTTAAATGCTCTGCAGTAATTGTAAATGTCTTTCTTCCAGAGAGACACGGCGACTCTTGGAGAGAGTGGTGTATCAGCCTGGTTATCCCTCCTCAATTGTATCAACTGCACGCTGGTACCTTTTAAGACACCTCTATGCGAAAAATGACTATGAGCTCATTGACGTAAGCTGTTAACTTTATTTGAAAAACTAGAGTTATCTTTTCAAACTTACCCTATTCTTAGTGAAATTTTAAAAGATGAATATCAAATTCTTTGGCCAAAATACTATGATTAATGTTGCATCTGCTGAAAGTAGATAAATAGATATGTACATGGTTTGAAGGTTTAATGTAGTTAGTGTTTTACATACATTAGTTATAAAATTCTCACCTTGGTGTTATAATACTGAAAGGCTGAGATTCTTTGGCATGAAAAACCAAGGTATTAAAGCTGTGCTTAAAAATAGTTAAGTATAGATTCAGCAGGAAGACATATTAAATTTTCTTTGAGTAACCATTTAGAGTTCAAAGTCCAAATTAATGCCTAGTACTAAGGGTAGAAGACATTAGTTTAAAACTCTCTCAGGACCAGTTGTGAGCTATGTTCTAAAGAATTGCATAGGAAAGGCTAGCGAGATAATATCAGGTATTACGCTTGTTACGAAAGCCTGACTTGGATCCCTACAGCCCACTGTGGAAGGAAAAGTGACTACTGAGAATTTCTTGTGACATCCACAAGTGTCCACATTCACCTCACCCCTGAATATAATAGTGAATAGAATTTATACTTCCACCAATGTGTTTTAGGTGCTTTGATTTATGACTTTCTCTATTCTGTTATTATAAAAATAGCTTGAAATTGTTAGCCACGTTGGGGCATGGAATTTAAGGTAACCTAAATTTGAGTACTTGGGCATGCTCCAAGAATAAACATATTTGGCTCCAGAATAAACTTTCTCTTAGCCATTTAAATAAAACAAATAATTGCATATTTTTGGCAATTTAGATTAAAAGCTGTTCTCACATACATGTCTATTCATCAGTGTAGTTTTACAAGTTTTCTTAAGTGGAAGAAAAGGGGAAATGTTAAGGGGCTTGTCTAAAAGGTAGTATTTTTTCTATTACCTGTGTCTTCACAGCATGACAGATATGAAAGTCATTTACGAGATAGACAGAGGTTTATAATTGAGAGGTGCTAATTCAAAACCCTTACCTAGCAAATGTATAGGTGGTTTAACAAGTGTTCGTTGCATTTCTGAACATCTCGTGAATAGGGTCCCAACTGCTCTTTCTTCCGGGTAATCTTTTTATGGTGTTTTTACAGCGAGCAGTGTTGGGACAGATAGTGTCTCTAGAATAAGTTCCTCTCATAATGCACCTCACTGCACAGGTGGGGAACTGTATATATCCATCCACATCATCCCCTGGAGGCTTAGAGGACAAAGGGCATGGAGGCAAGTGTCAGTGTCTGTGCCCCTGGCTGAACCATTAGCAACGCAGCCAGTTGTCTGACCAGAGTCTGTGTTATCAGGCAGAAACTTGACATTGCCAGGCTCCGTCTTGTCAGTTTGCAAGAAGAGCAAGCCCCACACCTTCCACGGTACTTGATGCCCGACATGCAGAAAACAGCCGAATGATGTGATGGAATTGCCCCTTCCAGCTTGGGGCATTTGTGAAAAGTATGAAAAGCTTCTTGACAAAACCAAAGCCTCGAGCTTAGACAGTACTCATGGCTTTAGACAGGATGCTGCCATCCGACAGTTCTGTATGGAGCCGGCTCATGTGGGGTGAGAGTTCACAGGTGACAGGAATGAACGCGGAACCCTTAATTTTATGCACAACTGATAATCATAACAATCAAGATACTGACATTTTTACTAATGAACAGTCGTTAACTTTAATTAATTAGTGATTTATGACAGCAAAAGTGAACAGCTGCATCGCTGTATGTGGTGTCCCTTTGAATATCGCTTCCCGAACTGTCTGTGACTTCCCGCAGGTGTTGGTGAAGAATGCTGAAACTCACGGTGATAAAAGAACACTGGATCTGAACAAGAGGCTGTCGTCGCAGTAATCTCAGGCTGTGAGACTACGTAAGAACTGAAGAAAGTAGGACAGGCAGTGACGAGTTCACCACAACAACTAGTCTAGGACTAAAGCTGTATCCGCTGGGCGGTGGTGCACGCCGTTAATCCCAGCACTCAGGAGCCAGAGGTGGGTGGATCAATGTGAGTTCCAGACCAGCCAGCAGCACACAGTGAGATCCATCTTGAAAAAACATTTTAAATAATAAAGCAAATAAATTAAAAGCTACAGTTTTAATCATCCCTTGCTTTTCCTTTTTCCTTTTTTAATCTAGAGAAATTGAAGTTCTTATATTAGGGCTGTAACTTTCCAGTAATCCTTGGTCTGCTTTTAACCTGAAAGACGTCTCTGACTTGGTCCTTAAGGAAGTGAAAGCCTTCACTCCCTTACTTATTTTTGTTTGTTTGCTGGTGTTCTTTCCTAGACAGGGTTCTCTGTGTAGCCCTGGCTGCCCTGGAACTCAGAGATCCGCCTGCCTCTGCCTCCTGAGTGCTGGGATTAAAGGTGTGCGCCACCACCACCCAGCACTAACCGTTACTTCTTACATTTTCACCGGTATAATATGGTGTCTTTTGGAGGTTGCCTTTTACAATTAAGCCTTTGTATCCATTTTACAAATAATATGAAAAAGTAAATTTTCATTTTTTTTTTTTAAATTTCAGAGTTCTTCAGACCAAGTCTTGGTGAAATATACATGTGCTCGTGTAGTCTGTCTGGCTAGTTCCATCTCAGATCCTAGTGAAGGAGCCTTACATGAATGCTTGTAAGATTTTGACTGCTAATGAATATGTCTATAAAGTTTAAAATGCTCAGTTACCTAGTTACATTTAAAAACAAATATTAATGAAAAATATGTTGAAAATGACGCTGATAATATTTAATTATTCGTGCAATTTCTTCATGATGAAAAGACATGAACTACCTGAAATAAAACAAAAATCAGTGTCTTCTTTTTTCATATTACCAATGTGAGACATGGTTTTTAAGTTGGGATTTAAAACTTAAAAGCAGAGTTACCTATTTTTTCCAAAAAGTAATTTATATATTTAAATAGCCTGTATGTCACTTACTTTGGATTGTGGTTTTCAATATTCCAGTCGGCATGGTGTTACATGCCTTTAATACCTGCCCTTGAGAGGCAGAGGCAGGCAGATCTCGAATTTCAGATTAGTCTGGTCTACATAGAGAGTTCCAGGACAGCCCAAATTACATAATGAGATCTTGTCTCAACATTTTTTTTTCAGATGTAAACATTTATTGTACAGAGGTATATAGCAATATAATTTAGTATATGTTTTTTCCTAAGCCAGCAGGCTCATTGTATCATTTTCTGAAATCATATGAATTGATAATATCTTTTAATTAAATTGTGCTTCAGAGGTTATTTTCTTAGACAGAACTGTAACCTGGTATTTCCCAATTGTGGTGGAACATTGTAATCACAGTCAGAATCCTTGGGATGGGAGGGATCAGAACTCAGCCTTCGGATGGAACCTGAGGCAGTCCTTAATGCTTGTACAGACCTGAACACACATGGTCCTCTGCTTATTTCTCCCTGGTGCTCCTCCTAAGCGATCCAGGGTTTACAGCCTGACCCACAGGCAGCTGGAGATGCTCTGCAGGAGGCAGCTGCCAGCCTGGTGCCCGCGTCCTTCCGTCTCCTGCTGGCTGAGCTGCTGCCATCTGCCTGTGTTAGTCACGGCCGCTGCCGTCCCCCTGCTCTCTGGAGGTGCCTGGGCTTCGCGAGGCTACCTCCTTCCCCTCTAGATTATGTGACCAATTTTTGGTTTAGAAAATGCAGTCACTTAGGATTTGTGTACTGAAGATCACTCCTCTTGTGTTTGGCCTTTGCTCCAGCCCACATTCAAGTGGTGACCTTTGGGTTATTTTGCCAAGTCTGGAACCTGAGTCTTCTGGAAATTGGGGCGGTAAAAATGTATTTAATATCGATTCAGATCTTTTTTGCATTAAAATGTACACATGCAGGTTATTTTCTGCCAAACTTGAGATCATCTTTTTTTACCTTCTGCTTTAATATTGTTAAACAATATTCTTAAAACAAAGTCAATTTGAAACAAATAAACATTATAAAACTGTAGAAAATTGAGTTAAATTAAAACTAATTTCTCCAAGGACTGGTATTTCATTGTTATTGCTACATTTGATTCTAGAATTACAATGTGTTTTCTCTTTTTTTTTTTTTTAGACCCACTATTTAGCTACTAGATATTTATAGTGTTATTTGGCTCCCAATGGTAACCTCCTGTGGAAACACGTTTCGGCTCATAAGTGGATTCTGAACCACTGTTTATTTGCTTGGAATCACTTGTCATGTTTTTTGCAGTGTCTCTGCTATTTTTGATCAGAAAAAAAAAAAAGTGAAGTGTTATTATATTTTTGTAATTACCAAATGAGCAATTGACAAGTTTTCTTTAATTTGGGATTCAGCACAAAGTAGGACTGGGTGGGAAAACTCAGTAGATCAGGAGCATTAAAAATGTATGCGTTGTTTGTTTGTTTGTTTGACTTGCTGATAATAAACAAATGGAAAGGACCTGTCTGTGGTGGTCCATAAGACAGCGTGGTTTCTACTATGACATAACTGGTAGCAGAGACGAGGCAGTGTAGATTCCAGATCTGTTTTCACATGGGAAGGTGTGGACGTCATGTCTTCAAGTTCACTCTTGCTCCTTTCCAGTCCTTCCTTCCTCCTGCTGGAGCTGCTGATGGGAGGAACTCAGATTCCTTCCCTGACATTTGTTCTAAAAGGTAACACCAGGTTTCATAAATGGACCCTCACTATAGGAGAGGGTGTTCTGTTTTTGCTATATACTTAAAATGTGTATTTATATATTGTAGACTTTATATGGGAGAAATAAGTCAGAACACTCGTCATTTATAATATGTGAGCCATTTCTAGTTTAGAAATAGTCACAGGAGGTCTGTCATGCCTCAGAGACCACTCATGGTGTTTAACTGTCATGTGCTGTCGCTTCCTACTGCTGATTAGGAGTTTTTCATAGCAGTATTTAAATTCTAATCTATCCAAATACCCTGCACTACTATTTATATTTTCATAAATGCTATCTTTTTTACTTTAAAATATTTTGAAGTAGAAGATTTACTCAAGAAATAACCATTGATGTTCTATTCATAACAACCAGGAAATGGAATCAGCCTAGATATCCATAAGCAGATAAAAGGATAGGATATGGTGTGTGTGTGTGTGTGTGTGTGTGTGTGTGTGTGTGTGTGTGTGTGTGTGTGTGTATGGATGGATCAATCCACATGAGTCTATTAAATGGGTAACAGATTTTATTAAGATGTAAATTGAGGAAACACACTCATGAATACAGAATGGAGGAGACAGCAGAAGTCATCCACTGATCTGACTGGAAGTGAATCCACCTCACAGGCAGGAGCAGGGAGAAGGGGCATGTGACCTTTCTCCAGCTCCTTATAAGAGGTCACGTACAATGGCAGGAAGCACCGCCTCCTTTGGGCCATGTGTCATGGGCGGAGCAAACACTACTAAATATATCGGTGTTTTATTTGGCTGTAAGGAAAAATGAAATTTGCAGGAGAATGAATGAGTTAGGAAATTAGCATATTAACTGAAGTAACCCAGACTCAGAAAGACAAAACCTGTTCTCTCTCATATGTGGATCCTAATTCCAAGTTGTAAACATGGATACATATATTGGCATAAGTGAAGGTATAGGTCATAAAGTAGAAGGGCCATGATGGGAGGAATTTGTAAGGAGGCAGGGAGAGGCTAATAGAATATATGTGACATGAGACTCGTAAGGAGACTGCCAGTGATGGGAGGGAACAGAAAGCAGGGTGCAGGCCCTGCGGAAGAAGAGGGAAAGAGGAGGGTCGGCCAAAGCAAAGTATGTCTGAAAAAAAGCCGTAAAGCAGCAGATGGCTGCTGGGTGAGAGTCATTTTTCCAGAGTGTGGCCAGTGGTAGGTTGCCCTGTTCCAGTGGGTGTTGCTACACCTATGTGCATATGATCACCACTAAGTGGACTTGGTGAGTTATAGAAGCAGGAGAAGAAAAAACAAAACAAAACATGAGGTTGGTAATGGGATGATCAAAATACCTTATGTTTATGGGTGAAATTCTCAATAAATAAACATTTTTAATGCCATAATAAAATCCATTAGTTTGTATGGCTAATTAAGAAACAAGCAAGGGACAGGGTTGCTTAGTGGTTAGGAACATCTGATGCTCTTCTAGAAGTACTCAACACTTTTGTTGGGCAGCTTACAGCTACCTGTAACTTGAGCTCCAGGGGATCCAAAACCTTCTTCTGGCCTCCACAGGCACCCAACACAGGATTGAGCCCCTGAGAGCTTTCTCTTTTTCTGTGTTAGCATGTCCATTGATGTCATTCTTGTTTAAGGCAGGCCTGTCGAATGGTCAGCCCTGAGATCGTATACATACAGGTAACATTATATGAACCGAACAGATTGTATTTATGTAGGAATACATTCATGTGCATGCACACACACACTTGTATGTAATAAAAAAAAAGACCATAAATTCGAGAGAGAGCAAGGGGGTGCATGGGGGGAGTTAGAGAGAGAAAAGGGAAGAGGTAAATGATAGAGTTTCATAAATAAAATTATTATACAAATAAAGTACATTTTCATAAAACCTCATCAACAATTATTTCTATTTAATTCTTCTTTTAAATTCATTAAATTCCACTCACACTGAAGACACATGTTTCAGCAGATAAATGTACCTACCTGGCAACCTGAGTTCCATTTGTAAAATTTGTATTGGATAGAAAGAACCAACTCCTCAAACTTTCCTCTGACCTCCACAGGTATACTATAGCCTGTGCACCCACATACGCACATTACTGTGCACACACAAGTATTGTTTTAAAGCTTCTCAAACACACACACATTCATATAAAGGAATTTGATTGGAGTTACCCTATGTAGGGTACTGCTCCTCCCAGCTACCAGGTACAAAAAGCCTCCCTTCAAGTTGTTGATCAGGGTCCTGGATATTCCTTAACAGGGCAGTTTATTGCCGTTGCTCTTGGCTACCCACCAGAACTAGATGGTGAAATGCTGTTGCTGAAGACACCACACCATCAACGTATGTGGAGGTGGTACTGCACAGGAGGTTGTCTGCCTATTTTTTAATGTACTGGAAGGTACTAGGCAAGCTGCTGAGGGAAAAAAAAAACATCAGTAATCTTACCCAGCTGTGATCCCTGTGACATATAACAGGCGTGGCAAGATAAAGCTGTGAGTGCAATACTACCACAAATACAGAGGTAACCAACCACTTTCTGATTGGACTTAAATCCAATCTGGAGGCACTGTAAATTTGGCCAGGAGTTAGCCCGTGGATTGAAACCAAAGAGATAAACCTACTGCTAGTATTTTGCTAAATGAACAGTGTCAAACTGCCCTCAAAATTCTTATTTCTGTACCTATAGGTTAGTGTAGATCTCAGACCTTACCAGAGAAATTTCAGTGGACAGGATTTATGCAGAAACACATAACTGGTGAAAATAAAAGAATAAGTGTCTGGAGTGCTTAATCACATCACACTCCCTCCCCAAAGATAAGGAACCATTTTGTAAGAGAGAGCTGAAAGATTCTAAGCTGGACATTGAGGAAGACTTGATCAACAGCATGTGCTGGACATCGCAGGACCGCTGCACTCAGGAACTCAACAGCCTGGTCAGTCAGCAGTCCAGGAAGGAGCAGGAATGGGCTCACAAGCCTCCACCCTAGCTCAGTTGCTATTGACCGCATGTGCTGGGCATGGCAGGACCATTGCGCTCATGAACTCAACAGCCTAGTCAGTCAACAGTCGGTTCAGGTGCTATTGACAGCTGATGGTGTGGGGAGAGGCGGAGACTGTGTATCTGGGAGGAGTTAGGAGAAATTTGGAGGAGAATATAATCAAAATGCACTATGTGTACATATAGAATCATTTTTAAAAGCTTGTTTTAAGTATTTACTAGGTTTGTGACTGTATAGTCTTGTCTTTTGCCCTTTGTCTATGAATTGATAAATTCAGAGTCTTAGCTGGATTTCTAATGGTGACATTCTATTGCTCTGAGATCACCAAAGTTCTCCAAACCAAAAATGAATGAAACAAAATACTAGAACAAACTGTTGCTGCAACTCTTGTACATATAAACCTTAGGCTCATATGGTAAAGAAAGGTAGGGAATGGTCTTAGATATAAGACTAGAAAGGAAAGTGGTCCTTTCTCAAAGGATGCATTGTAGAAGCCACTACTGTAAATGGTTGAATGTAATTACATGCTCCTGCAATATGCCAAATAGGTTGTGCTTTTTACAAAGCCACATACATTAAATAGAGCATTCACATTGTTTTGTAAATCTTAAATAACTTGAGTCTCTAAGCTCCTGCCTTTTTAATGTCATTCCCTCCCTTTAATCATACAAAATATTCTCATTGTTTAATCTCTATATGGAAAAAAACTGTATAATAAATTAGTAGGCAGTGTTAACTTTTTTGGAAAAAGATTGAATTGATCTGCACTATTTGATGCTTTTAGGAAGAAAGTAGAGACAGCTTTTGTAAACACATTAGCTCAGAGGTCTGGGAAGTTAGGAAGAAGACAAAGACAACCGTTCTTATCTTACAGACTGAGCTGGGTGTTTTCCTGAGGACGGACATTTCTGGAAGTGTTAATTTCTCTTATGTTTGTGACACAAATATGTCTGGGCACAAGGAAGAAGCCAGATGGAACAGATGGTTTTTCATGGAGAAAGAAGAAGAGGAAGTTAGAGAGAAAGTAAAAACACTGGCTGGGAGAGAAATTTGCATTGATATGTGTAAGCAAGGTGCAATGAAACCACCAAACTGGACCACTCTGTGGGTAGAAAGAAAGGTTTATTGTGGATCCAAGCTTCGAAGCTGTCTCTCAGGAGCAGAGAACAGTAAATGGGGGGAAGAGCCTTGCCAGTTTTAAGGGGACAGTGGTGGGGGGAGGAATGTGAGCCAGAACAGCCTGGGAGTTAGAGTATCAGAAGTGGAGTGCAAACCAGAATGGCCTAGGAACTAGCACCAGAGCTTTGATCCATTACAGGCTTGCTTAATTGGAAACCAGATGCCTTTGCTGGAGGCAGT